CACTGTCAGCTAAAATAAGATCATAATTAGTAAGGGATTTAGATTCTGTACACGTAAGAAATGATACAACAACCTGCTAATTGAAGACAATAATATTCAAATGTTACTGAGGAACAAAGACTGGTACGTAATTGTGTGCAAGGAGTAGGAGGGTTACAAGAAATGTTTCAATCTAGTAGACTGAACCACAGCTGAGAAAAGGCTAAAACAACAACCTTGAAAACAAGCATTAAAAAGCTAGTGTCACAGTAAAAGGAGGACAAAGAAGAACATGTTTGTTTACACAGTGGGCCAAATTTTGCCTACAGGCAGACCTACCCTACAAGAAAGTCATATACATATATGCATATTATTTGTTTACATATGAAAGTGAGATATAGCTTTAATTGTAGAGAAGCAAAACTTCACACCCTAGGACTGCATGTAACAAAGGTCCTATAAAAATAACATAGAATCATAGAATAGTTAGGGTTGGAAAGGACCTTAAGATCATGTAGTTCCAACCCCCCTGCCATGAGTAGGGACACCACATCATAGTTTATAGCCTGTTTAGTAATAATTTTGACAACTAACATGAGACTGAATTTTTAAAATTACTGATACACTTTTTTTTAATTACGACCATAGAAAACAAATGCTCAGATCTGGCTTTTGATGTCTGTGCTGTGATTAAGCATCACTCATTGTCCCTGAAAGACAGAAACAGCAAGCAACCTCACCAAACAGTGATGTTGTAAAAAGAAATTCATTAATACTGTATTTGCAGAGCACTCAGATACCACAGTGAGAAGCCGCACAGAAAAGCCTGTGAGGAAATTAATCATTCTGCATTCAGTGCAGGATCTGGCAGATGTGCCATAAAGAAAGCCTCGAGACATACATTAAATATGAAGATAAAAAAAGATCCTAGCCATTACTAGCAAAAATAATATCCCCTGAATGAGCATCATCTGCCTTAAGGCATTAAATGTTTCACATATTCTCATACAATACAACGGAAAAACTTTTGATTAATGTGGTAAGATTATAGCAACTCCCAGCCAGGTATTCTATGCAAAATATAGAATCTGATACGTAATTAAGTCTATCATAAATATATGTCCTGGGACTAGTATTTCTTCATTTCCGCATGCTTAATTTTGCAACTAAATAACACCTCCACATCACAGCAATTATTAGCTAATGTTTATTCTCAGCACTCAGGAGTTCCTGTCACCACAGTTCTAGGTGTGTTTTGTGTTAGCACAGTAAATCAACCAATGTTTCACACTGCAGCTGCTAGACTGCTTCTGTAATCAAGAAACCCTGTTTTACAGCTAGCTCAAGTGATTCAGGATAGCAAAGACATGACAAAAGAAGGCTTAACAGTGGCAACAAATCTGCAGGTTCAGAGCTAGCTCAGTTATCTGTACTAACATTGCACTGTAAATTACTGATTTTATTTTACTCTACATCAGTTCTTCTCTCCCATCCACATAAGTTTGTCTTACCCCATCAGCTCAAATCTGAAGTCAGATTTCAACTTTCTCCTCTGTTAATCAGTAGGGACGGCTGCTGGAGAGGAAGGATGTGTAGGGAGGACTCTGGGATGCACCCCTGGGTTGGAAAAGGTCTACCAAAGCTGCTTTCTACAGTACTTCAGAAATGGGGAGAAGAGGCAAGGGGGCTCCATGCATGCCTGTCTAGAAAAATGAAAGATGTGCTAGAATAATCTGGCTGGAAGAAATAGTCTCAGTATCTGTGCTGAGATGCAGCAGTGCTGTAACATATTATGGTTCCTAGTACAAAAAAATAATAAGTAAATAAAAAAAAAAAATCAGACACCACTGCATCAGACAATATGGATGACCAAGTATAGTTCTTCAAGCAACCACATACAAACCCATGCCACGGTGTCAAGACTAAGGTTTTTACCTGGGCTACTTAAGTCAGAAAGGGCACACTACCTGAAGATGCAGCGAGGTAGGTAACAGGTGAGGAACTGCAGCATCCTTAAAGGTTCCCAGGCTGTATCAACAGGTACATCTTAAGGCTGACACCCAAATTATTCCTTATCTTGACCCCAGGAACCTGTCTGCACAGCACGGGGGCACAGCTCAACGGTTCTAATCACCCAGTCTGCTGAAAAGAAAGGCAAGGCTTTTCCACCTCTCTGTGCAATAGTCACTGTTTCTTACATTTAGAAGGACAACCCGCTACCTGGAGACAGTGTGAGTCTCACCATGGAAAGAGGCTAGCCTATGCTTACCTAGCAAGGTGAAAGCAGGCTCAGGAACACATGAAGCTCAGAGAGTCCCACAGGTTATGTATGTGGTTTCTCTCCATGCTGCTCCCATGCTACTCCCATGGCTGATGAACCACAGAGCAGTGTTTGGATCCTCCTCTGCCTAATTCAGACAGACACTGCAAATGGGAGTTTGGGTCTTTTTAGTCAAATGTGTTCTGATCCTCTGCCATGAGAAGCTTCGAAACTTAGCTGAGCTATTGGTATATTTACTGCTTTCTTTCCCACCAGAGGAATATTTCTACCAAAAGAGGTGCATGACATACTTCTGTAAGCCAAATCTGACCAGTTGCAGGGGAAAAATCCTGTTATCTTCATGAAGGTGTGTCCAAATGATGATGCACATTTCCTTTCAAGGATCAATATGGACTGATTTTTGAGGAAGGAGGTGGCCAGCGACTCAGGAGTAAAGAGGTTAATGATTTTAGTAGACAGATCTTCCAGGATGGCATAGCAAAGCTTAATGATATGTTACTCCTCAGGAAGACAATGGTAGCAGGTAACAGTAATTTTTTTCTACAGCAGACATTAAAAAGTCTAATAGAGGTACATTTTCCATTTACTGCGCTATTGATATTATTGAACTAATAGAATTTGGGGTAGCCTTTTTTTTTTTTTTTTTTTTAAGGTAGCCTACCAGTCCAGTTACCTTCTATTTGACACAAGCAGGACACACCATGAGTCTGCTGTTCATACAAGGTCTGCTCATTTAAACATAAAATTAAGACAACTAAATCTGATTGAAAGTTAAAACTAACATATCTCCTTTCAGGAATGCAGAACCAAATAAAGATTTATCTAGCTTTCCCTGAGATAAAAACCAAACACCAAACTTAAATTGTGTGTGTGCACACAATTTATGCAGGTGAAAGACTTTCATCAGAGCTGGCAATCACCATGTCATCAACAAGACATTCTAACACACAAATTGTAGAAATAAGCAAACCAAAACATAGAATGAGAAAAAAAAAACAACCCACCCCAACATTCATAGTGAGAAAATCAAGACGTTATAATATTGACCTTTGAAAGGCAACAGTACACAATGATATCTACAATCACAGGGTTCAAAAATGATGACAGCAAAATTCAGAAGGACTATTAAAAGTAGTGACTTTCTCCTATTCTTTGTAGCTCAGAGCACTCAAATATATCGACCATTTCAGTACTCTAAAATTTCCTGTCTTAGAAATCTGAATGAGGCAAATTTGAACCTAGTAAAATTGTAAAAGCCTATGTTCTGTTTGTTTGTTTGTTCAAAAAGCTCACAGGTCTGATTAATTCCCACATAAACTGAAGGAAGTGTTAATGACAAACATCGCTGCCTTTTCTAGCCAAAAGGTTTGCTCATCTTCTTTTCAAAGAGGATATTTTTTGATATTGGATATTGTCAGTAAATGATAGCTAAAATACCTATTGCCAGGTACATCAATGTGAATATACAGGCCCCAGCTGTTATCTCTTCTGACTCATGGGAATTTGGAATGTCAGAATTGGAGGGAAAAGAAACCACTTTTTCAAAGACAGTTTTACTGACATGGATACTAGAACACCTATTTCTTTTTCAACACGTCAGAAAAAGATGATTCCTTACTTCACAGATTTCTGACAAGGCTGATGTACTCTTACAGGTTATCAAAGGATCAATACCACTTTTGGTTATGTAACAGAAATAATCAAAGCCCTGGAATAGGCAGGGTCGCAAAATGACAAGTCTATGTATTTATTACATTTAAATAACATGTCAGTCTTGATCAAAAGATGATCTCTTTAAGGACTTCCATTAGTAATGTTCTTTTACTTACCCAATGGGGAGATTGCAAGGAATTTAAACAAATAAAGATTGATTTCTTTTGGAAAAGAGTGTTCTTTACAGTAAAAAAACATGTTTTGTTAGGGTGCTGCTACACATAGCAACTGCTTTGCTTAATTTACTTTTTAGAATTCCCTTTGTGATGCAGTTAGTAATCTGTGTTAAAAATTATCACCATGGAAATACATTGGTTCTTTTTGGCCTTCGAAAAATGTATCTTACCCTTAAAATCATACTTTTATCAGATTATACAGATAATTAATGTATTATTATTCAGCAGAATTGTGTACAAGATTGCTAAAACTCCTAAGAGATTCTGATTTCTTTCTGCATTTCTTAAAATCTCTTTGCCATTCTTCTACACAGTTTTACATAAAGCAACTTTATTCATGTAGTGCCAGTGCGTAATCTCTCTTTGCATAGGGATTTAAGCCTCAAAGCAATGATTAGGAAAGCAGACACCTAAGAAATAGATGTAGCACATAAAACCTTATCAGTTAATAGACTGACAGACTATTCTCTAGTGCTTTTGGAATCACCAGAACCATTGTCATGTCAGTTTATTTATTCTGCTATTGTTCAAAAAAGGAAACTGTCTCTTCCCAGAAGTTATTACAGCAGTCTCTCAAGTTACTTTGCCTAGCATTGGGATGGCTGTAGTGAGTTTAAACATCTATGTAATCACTGCACCAACTTTTTAACCACTTGCACACTGCAAACAACAACTACAGTAATAGACTTTCAGATCTTTGAGAACTATGGACCAGAGAAAGCTAAAGGATTATAGGGTAACAGTGCTAAACGAAGAGCGTACATCTTATACATCATCTGAAGCTGCATTTTAGGTAAAGGGAACATTACATATCAGTCAATGGCATAATAACACAAAGACTGTGGTCTTACCCTTTGTTTTCAAGTCGTTTAATACCTTTGATTCCACAGGCAGTATATCGCTCACTAGTTTTATCTCAATATTTCGGGATGCCAGTTCAAGCAATTTTTCAAAAAGACGCTGACCCTGGGAAGAAAATTAAAGGAAACCAGAAGTTGTGAGACAGAATTGTTCAAATAGCAAATGAACAGATTAAAGTTAAAACAAAAACATATTGTAAAACAGCTGAATAAATATGTTTCTAGGTATGGTTAAATCTACCCTAAAAGTTAGCAACTCAAGCCACTTTTCCCAGATTATGCAATACCATTGCTGACAGGTGACACACAGAGAACGAAATGTCCGGATTGTTTATGCTTCATAAACATATTCTTATATTAATTTTCTTCTAAAGAATTACATTCTCTTAAATCAGAATAAAAAAGTAGAAGGACAAGAGTTTACTACACTTATTTGGTATTGAATGGTTTTCTGTAATTGATTCTAACCATAGTACAATACATTTTCAAGTGGTCACATGCTCATCTTTCTATGAGCTATATCACAAATGGAAACAGTGATCTACATGTATTTCATATGGTTTTCCTTTTTACACTATTATAAATCTACTATTTAAGCCCTATTTCTAACCAAGAACAAAAAAAAAAAGAGAAATCTCAGTTACTTGTAAAAGCAGAAATAAAGACATTTGTTTCACTTGAAAAATGAAATTTTGAATCACATTTTTCCACATCTGAGAAACAAAGAAAAAGTAGACCTGATTGCATAGTAAACATTTAATTTTTAGATTCAATATTTTAACTTGAAGAAAAATACTTAATTAAAAGCATCTAAACAATTTGAAGAATAAAACATCATATATGAAATATGCTGTGTTACTACAACCACAGTGAGAGCCCATTTCCTTTGCTGCTGTTCTAGCTTACTACAGCAGACACCAGTAACAGCTAGCAGCGAAATACACAAAAACGTTGTGTTTACACAGCTAACAAAGTTCCTGCCCTACCTCTACAGTTCACTTTAGATTCCATATAGTGCTGGCCCCAAGGCAAAGCAAAAAAGCAAGTCATATCAACTTACAAAGAAAGATGTAGAAGATAAAGATTTCCACAGAAACATGTTAGATGATTCTCTGAACAAACTGTTACTCTAAAAATCTTACAAGGATTTTTCTATTCAACAAAAATCACCAAAGCAAAAGCAGTTTGCAATCTGACTTTGCATGGACTTACAAAACCTGACAGAAGCCTTTACTCCCGCATCAAACCCCAAAGCAGCAGACAGTGGAAAGCCACCCTTTGCCCTGTAATTGCCTGCACAGATCAACACTCTGAGATTTGCTGAGCCTTAAGCATCAAGCAGTCACAGAAAGTAGCTCTTCACCTGTCTACAGTACAGACCTATTATTTAATATTCACTTATTCTGAACAGGTGGCACAATAAGAATACCCAGCCTTCTAAAAACTGTATTTCCTCAAAATTACAGGGCAGCCAGGGACTGCAACAGAAACACAAAACTACTGTTTACACTTTACTTTTGTAATACATGCCTGCTTGTTGGCTCAAATACACAGCAGAGCTTCCTGCTCATCCCAGGGTTCATATAAACTTAGTAGTCAACAAGATACTTCCATAAGGAAAGCACTGGACAACAGCTAACAAAACAGGGAAAAAAAAAAAAAAAACCAAAAACCAAAAAAAATGCTTTGCATGAAGCTCCAAATGTTTCTTCTACTCAGATTCAGCATTTCTTGAGGTGTCTAGGTGGTTCCATATGTAAAAGAGACCCCCATGATTTAATTCACACACTCAAAAGCCCTTACTGAGTTGCTGTGCAAGTCAAGGAGTGGTTTTCCCTCACATTCCTCCTGAAGCTACAAGGATCCTTAATTCTCACATCAGTGATTGAGTTGGGCTTTTTTAAGAAGAGGAGCAGATGTTACCCAAGGTAAGTTACTCAGTATTCCCGAGTGCTTTACTCCATCTAAGAAGGTCTCTCCTGCAATTGCTACAGAATGGTACTGCTAGACTAACTGAATCAGGGAACAGCAACCACTGCACTGTTGTCTGCTGGGTTACCAACCCAAGCCTTGCCCCGTTCCCCAGCTCTCCAGGGGCCACAGCTCGTGACATGCCAAAGCTCAGGAAGCCTTTGGACCCACTTCTTCTAGGTCCAATGACTGGAGAAATCAGCAGTTTTAATTTTCATTAGTTATATCTTTGCAAAGATTGAGCAGGGAAAATCGAGTAAAAGGTTTGCATGACATAAATTAAATATATATGTATATGTAGAAACAGCTACCTGGAAAGTTTCTGTATGTTGATTTAATTTACGAGGTAGAAAGACACTTTTTGTTTGGGTTATTTGCAAAACCTGATTTTGACTAGAAGCATAGTAGAAAGCTCTAGCATACAAAAAATAAACTTGGAAAAGGCATTTGTAAGTTTATCATAGAATGGTTTGGGTTGGAAAGGACCTTAAGATCATCTAGTTCCAACCCCTCTGACATACGCAGGGATACCTCGCACTAAACCATGTTGCCCAAGGCTCTGTCCAACCTGGCCTTGAACACCACCAGGGATGGAGCATTCACAACTTCCTTGGGCAACCCATTCCAGTGCCTCACCACCCTCACTGTGAAGAACTTCTTCCTTAGATCTAATCTAAACTTCCCCTGTTTAAGTTTAAACCCATTCCCCCTTGTCCTACCACTACAGTCCCTAATGAAGAGTCCCTCCCCAGACTTCCTGTAGGCCTCCCTCAGATACTGGAAGGCTGCTATGAGGTCTCCACGCAGTCTTCTCTTCTCCAGGCTGAACAGCCCCAACTTTCTCCGCCTGTCTTCATACGGGAGGTGCTCCAGTCCTCTTATCATCCTGTGGGCCTCCTCTGGACTTGCTCCAACAGCTTCATGTCATTCTTATGTTGAGGACACGAGAACTGCACAAAATACTCCAAGTGAGGTCTCAAGAGAACAGAGCAGAGGGGCAGGATCACCTCCTTTGACCTGCTGGTCATGCTTCTTTTGATGCAGCCCAGGATACAGCTGGCTTTCTGGGCTGCAAGAACACGCTGAAGCTGGCTCATGTCAAGTTTCTCATCAACCACCACCCCCAAGTCCTTCTCCACAGGGCTGCTCTGAATCTCTTCTCTGCCCAACCTGTAGCTGTGCCTGGGGTTGCCCCGACCTAGGTTTGATGGAACGTGATTCACAATATCAATCAATACAAATTAATTTATTAACTGTTCTGCTAAGGAAATGCATGGAAAGTTAACATGTAAAGCTGATAAAATTAATTGCTTTAGGGGATGGCTCTTTAGGGGTTTTCCCCCATGGTAATTATTTTTGTTTATTGCCACTTCTAGCTGTACAAGATCTTGTTTATGTATGATTTACAACAGTTTTAATAATCAAGCCTGAAATTCCTGTAATAAGTGTAGTTTGGACCCAAAAGAACATGGCAGGATTTCCTGAGTTTAACCTGATCTTAGTATGCCCTGATGTGACCAGCACAGTGTCCTTGATGGACCATCTGGCTGTCTCTTACAGGCCATGTTGTCAGCTGAATAGCCCATCCTATGGGTGAATAGACCACTTAGAGTGCAACACTGCATTCCAATGAAGATACCTTCTCTGGAAAGAAATCTCTTTTCCCATCAGGGACACTACAAGCCATGCATTTATAATATCCTTTTTTGTCCAATTACGTTCATAAATGGCAAAACCTCAAATTGATAAAACATTTAAAGCAACTGTAAGTAGTGATGGTTAAGACTAGGAGTGCACTCACCACAAAAAGGTATTTTTATATAGATATACAAAAAACCCCATCTGGTGCCAGAGCTGTGAAGAATTCCCTCCATCTCATCTCTTTCTGCATCATCCTTCAGCAGGCATTTATACACTCATCACAGCTTAGTCTAGACATTCTAAACAACTATGAAAAATTCCCAACTCGCTTTTAAAAGCGTTTTACTGTAGTAAAATAAGGTACATTGTTGAAGAACCAGACCTTCTGCCCCATTAATATTAATTTGAAACTCAGTTTCTATACTTTCTGACATGTTTACTTGCAATTTTACTGTTTTCTTCTATGAGAAGGTAGAAAGACAGGACAGAGGGTCTGAAGAGTTTTGTCGCTGTTGTCAGCACATTTGAAATGCTTCTGTTGAATACAAACCCTCATGCTGCCATTCAGACAACATTCCCTTTGTGAGACAATACCAGGCTGCTGCGCAACTACGTGACAGCGATCAGAGTAATCTTTATATACCCAGCTTATGAGGACTGAGAAATAGCAACCCAGTGCTGTGAAACCGCAACATGCAACCTTATACCATACCTGCATTTTAACATACAGTACCACCAGAAATCTGCATAGCTTGATAAAATATTCCCTTATGATTTTTACTGGGCTTCTTCAAAAAGTCTGCTGAAAGTGACAAAACAGGACGTAAAAAGTATTTATCACATGAACAAACTGACATTCTCATTGTAGCTTTAAACTACCACACATCTGAAACATCAATCCCAGCTGTGCCTGCCACAGGCATCTGGTGAATTGAAGGAAAAAAAAAAGAAGTTATCATTATCAAAAGGTCCTGAAATTGCCCCCAAAGCAATTTCTTAGCAGTCACTGGACAGACTGATTCTAGCCTGGCTGATTTCCCTTGCATGCTGTTGTCTTTATCAGCATGCACTCCTCATTAGAAATATAATAAAGGAGATAGGAACACAAAAATGTACATATTGAAGTACTCTAAAATTGAATTATTGCACTCTTCAGTAACTTACATTCCTACACTTTAGACAATGCTTAGCTTTATCTATCCACAGAAATGAAACTGGTTACTTCTAGAATTTTCTTCAGGATTTATTCTATATAATTCTACTAATATTTTTAAAAGTTGTCGTATGATCAAGCCTTAGGTATCTCTATAAAACATAACTAAAAACACAGCATGCTGGCAGAAACCACTGGAGAAAACAAATCAAGAAATCCTAACCTTAACTTCTGCTATTTAATACAGAACAGAGAAACTCAAACACTCTCTCCTCAATTCTTCTAGCAAAACAGCTAATGAAAAGGGAGAGAATGTGCTTTCATTTAAAAAAAATTCTTTTTTTAAATTTCTTTTCTATACCTCAGCCTGTACCAGCTGCATTGAGGAAATGCCACCATCTGACGAGAGATGTTTATGTAAAGATGAGCTTACAGAAAAGAAAATACACTGTGATGTCTATAGCTGATTGTAGCCAATCTCTGCTGTAGCTGTTAGGTTTGGAGATGTGCTCTTTGTACTTATTTGCATTTTTAAATAATTTTCAATAATGGGTACACTTGAGCTCTGGCACTAACATTTGTTCTACCAAAGAAATCACTTCAGATCCTTAGGCAATGCATGTCTGAGTGACACACGACTCATCATCAGAGATTCATTTCAAAACCAGACAGCTGGCTTACATGAGACATATTGCCAGATGGAGAGGGAGACTTCTCCCATCAAGCCATTTGGGAGCAGCACAATAGGCAGGTAAACAAGGTCAAGAACCATTTATTTATTGTGTGATCACTGTAAAAATCAGATGCAGATCAAGACTTTGATCATCTCATGGTCATCCAAACAGCCATCCAGGGAGAACTGTGCCATACTCATGCCAATATCAATAAGTCACGATGGCATTAATTCTTATTTGTGAAACGTAAAATAAAATTTGTGAGTAAGAACTTGCTGGAACTATAAAAGGTCACTCTAAATTAAAGTTTATAAACATGAGATGAGCCAGAGGAAATTAATCGTGAAAAATCATGAAATTGACATTACCTTACATTCACTTCTCTCTTCACTGCAAATGATTGAAAAGCTATCCTCAGAAATTGTTTCCATTGTCCTCTGGTATCTCTAAACATCGGATTGCCACAAGAGTCACATGTTCACATGCTGCAAAAATCTCAAAGCCCCTACACAACAACTATCCTGCTGTCTGGAAAATGCACAGATGACAATGCAAAAATCACCAAAACACACGGTTTTCGTCTGGATGAGAAAAACAGGTGTAGAAAGCCTACTCAGTATTTTGCCAAATACTTGTTTACTTGACCGCCTAAGCTGTAGAAGCACACCAAACACTGTTTGCATTTGGAGACTAATTTTGCAAGACTCATGAACTCAGAGGGCCAAGCAGAGCAGTTGTGACCTGGACAATTCAGTCAGCAGTGACTGCTTATTTAGACTTATAACAATAAAACATGGACAGGCAACTGTTAAGGACACTAGGTAACACATCACAAACAAAAATGAATAAAAATACAGCTGGGACTTCTGCAATTTCGTATGTGCATGTTTGAATATATTTATATATGTCCAATATACATTTGGACAAAATGGATAATATGTATATGGATGACATATATGTATGTGTGGATATACAATTGCAGAATTTTCTGCTCTGTGTTTCCTCAATACATATATTGGACATGCATATACGTACATGTATGCATATCCATATGCATAAATATGTATAATGTATGTATATATATGCATGCACGCACATATATAACTACACAAACACATACAGAGAACATAGCTAAACCTCGTAACTAATTATGGAAAAGCAATCTAGCCTACTCAGCTTTTCTCCTTCAAAAATCCACGTCTGTTGAAGTGCTCTTGTAGACAACCTTGTTTTGCAATATGCCTTGAATATTCATAAAATGGAAATCACAAGTTACAGAGCAGGATGTGGGTCCATATGGAAAAACGGTTACGTGCTTAGTTTCTGATAAAACAAGCATCATTCAGGGAAAGGCTAGAACTTACTAAGCATCATACTACCTAGAAGTTTTGCATCTCACCCCCTTACCTTTCATAACGCTTCGGTTATTTTGGGGCAAATTTCCCCAAATTTAAATTGTAAAGACTTGAGAACATTCGACTTACACCTCAGAAAATGGCTAGATCACAATTATTGAAGGTCCTCTGAAATTTCGCTTTCATTTTCCAACTGAAGAAGCAGAAGTAACAAGTTTTCTCCATTGCCTTTCACAAACTAAGCCATGTACATTCTCCTGGGCAGCAGTTTCTTAGGAAGTGCTGTGACTTGGCAATTTCTTTAGCAATTAGACTGGCCAATAACAGTATAGTGTTTTAGCATGGACAGACAATCTTGACAGAAAGATCTATCAGCTGTTCAGCCCACACTGCTGTACAAATGAGGAAATGACTGGAATATTAATTGCCTTTAAACAGAAGTAATTACTCAGTTTTGTAGGACTACTAGCAGGCAGAAATAGATACTAGAATAGAATATTATGAAAAATGTTTCATTTTTCTGGCTTTAATTATGCATTTGAGGATGAAAGAGCAAATCCACTTCTTGCATGTCTCTTCTTCCTTTCCCTGCTCTAACATTCCACAGTATCTTAAGAGTTTTTACTTTGCATGAGAATGTGGAACAGTGTGAATAGATTTGATGCTTAACTACTGAAATCCCAATTTCCAGTTTCCTATTTTTGTCCTCTGATTGAGATTTGTTATGCTCTGCTGGTTTTGAAGCAAATGACATGTTGAATTTTTTTCAGACAAAACATTTTTAAAAGATTCATGCATACACCAATTCATGCACATCCTAAGAACATCTAAGGCACTATCTCTTTGAATTCATCTGCTTGAATGACAGTACATGGGTTTGAAGTTTCTTAATGCAATAAATTTAAATAAACCTTAGCTGCATAATTACATTGTGAAAAAACTCAATATTTTGATACTCAATAGATTTATTCACAAACTATATTCCAATATTTATAAGCGTTCTAAAAGGAAGGTTTGCACTACATTTTTTATTTGGCTCCTCACCTCAGATTTTCACTCTTTTAAATGGACATGCAGCAGATGTATTCTGAAGAAAAGTTAATGTATGACATTTAACTAGGCTATAGCCTCTTTCAAGAGAGGTAAAATCCAACTCATGACTTGAAAACATAGGCTATTTGCAGTAATACCTTTAGTTGCTCAGAATACCAGTCTTTGTCTATGATCTACCAGAACTAGAGAGGAAAGGGAAGAGTTTATATGATAGTATAATAGAGTTGATTCCTTACAGTTACCTGGCTGTCATTTTAACCCCATTTCATGTTAGCTGAGCAGCTTCTTTCAGAAAAGAATCCAGATGGTGGAAAAGAGGAGATACTCTCAGCCTATCAACTCTTTGGTAACTTAGTTTCACAAGTGATACTAAGTGGAAACCTGCCCTTACCATATTTCTAGAGGACTGATCTCAAGAATAGTCTTTGTTGGCATAACATCACTGTCTGTCTCATGCACGTCTGTTTCATTCACTATGATTTATGATTTTTTCTATTGCTCTTAATTGCAGAAGTCTTGAACACTGCTCCCTCACAAGATTCATTTTGGAAAGGTAAGAGAAATCATCTGATACTACATTGTTCTTTATACATGTACTTCTATCCATTTGGTTGCAGAATTAATCCACGTGCTTGCGCTTTTACTTTATCAGTGGTACCAAATAGAAAATAAATGTATACATTTATGGATATTCCCTAATTATGAATGTGTTAATATAGGTACAATTTTGCAGGGTTTTAAGATTACACAATGATATCCTTTCCTTAGATGTAAGCTATATCAATGTGTTGGATGCATTACCTAGTCCAAGCATATCGCCACTTTCAGAAACCTAGAGTATGGGCAGGAAAATCTCCAGAAGAAAATGTTTTTTCTTACACTACCAAAGCAAATAGGTCTGCTGCAGGGAAGGGCTGTAGTTCTAAAAAATTAATAGTGAAACAACAAGAACAGATTGTTAAAGTCCCACCCTTTTGTTAGGCTAGAACATACCTGGCATGCTGATGGATGACTGTGATTGAGGTCCCACTGGGAAGATACTATGTCAACAGACTTTTCAGCCATATTAAGCAAATTCATCCAGCCTTGGAAAAGAGACAAATGGGATGGTGCACTGTCTGAATAGTTGATACCTTCAGGAATATTTTCCACAAGAGCAACCCTGAGAATAGATAAGGAAAGAATAACCACTTAACAAAAGCACTTTTCTTCATTAAAAAGTTCCAAATTGTAAAGAATGTCAGGTTTTGGGCCTGTGGTTCAACATCTGCTCCCAGAGGCTCTCAGCAGTGTGCCACCCTGCAACTCATTCTGAAGCTGCTGAATGTCAATGTCATGCTCTGCACTTCCCAAAACAATTAAATGCAGAAATGACTTATTCTAATGCAGCAAAGCCAATTAAGCTTTTGAAGTTCTGCGAAATTAACTTAAATATGTAAAAACTTACTTCTAATAACACAGTTAGTGGGAATTAGTCCTTTAGATGAGGATGAGAAGAATGAAACAATCTCTTCTTGTGTTGCCACTCTCATCTTTTCATCTAATTTCTTCTCTCTAAGCAAAGTGGTGAGATGTATATTGCCTGGCATTCTCTTAGGTCTGCTTTTATAGTTGACATTTTGCTACATTGCAGTCTCTATATATGAATTCTCCCTTTCCAACTGCTCTAAGCTGCCTAATTTTTGTGCTTTTGTTTACCTGTGTAAGGCTCTAAGTGGGATTCAGTGTTTGTAAAGGAGAATTACGCCATTTTAATTTCCTGTTGTTTTGGAAGGCTCCTTGATCTTATTGTCTACATTATTAAAAAGCAAATCACATTACATACATTCACATGGATCCAAGAAGCTAAACAAACACTGTAGTAAACTGACAGTTAAAAATATGTTTCCTCTGCTTCAGGGAAATTATGTGTTTTGTGCAGTACACTGCCTCACTTCCAGGTTTCCCTAAATTGCATCAGGTAAAGCTCCTCTCTACATTCAATAGAGGAATCTTAAAAATAAACACAAGTCAAACAAGTTTCCCAATTCGGTCTTTAGGTAAACAGATGAAATTTTCAGCTTATGCAAATGGCACTTCTATAAGTGCTCCTAACATCTGCCACTTTTGCTGTAAATCATTCAAACCAGATTTAGGAAGGCTGTAGTAGGGATTTGAAGAATACTCGTTTTCATGTATCCAAGTACATTGAGTATTTCCAGTCTGTTTCTGTACTTATTAATAGCATTAATTATCAACTCCAATGATATGAATATAATTTTTAAACTTTTTTTTTAGTAAGTAATTAATACAAACCTCTAGTGTAAATGGGAATTGTACACTTTCCGACTGTTAGAAAACCAGATTAGTTCATCCTACAGGGTCACATGGAAACTTTTACGGCTTTTTCACAATATCAAGCATATTTCTGAAGTTAACCCATTAAAAGACTAAAGATTAGTACCCTGCAGCAGTGTAAAGAAAACCCAACAAGAACTGTAATAAAGTAAACCTGTGATAATTAAACTAGACCATGCACAACTCCTCCTTTCATTAAACATTCAAATAAGTTCTCTTACTCTCTAAAATCTGGCAACAGCATCTATATCACTAAGCTACAATTACTGATAGCATTCTCCGTAACATACTTTGAACATGGTATTCTAGTGATTAACATTAAACTTAACTGCATTGCAGTAACAAAGTGGTAAAAACAGCAAATTGATTGTAAAAGATTAAATACACGATTTCTTAATGTCTTCAAAGTATACTTCATTCTAGAACATTCTACCTACCTCATTTACAAACTTTTAAAATTAACTGGTGCCCTAAAAATTTAGAACTTATATTAGTCTATTAGCAATGCCATAGTTCTAAAAAGAATCTATTTTACTCTAACACTCAAGGTTTTAGACTTGTTTCTGCTTCATCTAATCCTGTTACAGAACTTCTGTTAGATCCCTTGAAAGCCTGGTTAGTTCTTTCTCAATAGTTAACATTACTAATAGCGCAGCCCTTAGCAATGTTCATGTTCCTAGAGATGTTTTATGAAGAGCTGTTGGATGGCCACCTTCAAAGAGCAAGAAATCAAAGCATAGAAGGTAAAGTTATCTTTACAAGGACATAAACCCTCCCACCCCCAACAATCCAGCAGCAAAGAAGAGAAATTAATCCATATCTTTCAGGCCTCTGCCATCCCCTACCCAGTCATGTATAGATACAGGAGAGAGTTACTTTGGATATTCTCCAAAGATATACTTCAGATCAGATGATTATTCAAAAAAGAATCTATCGAAAGTGGCTCTGGTTTATCTAGAATTTAAAAGCGCACATCACTGCCTTAACACAAGATTTGTTCGAAATTTCTCAGCATTAGAATACCACCTGACACACAGCGTTTTCTGGTTGAACCTATGGAAATGAATATACAGGAACCCACAAAAAAACTGATAGGACTGAATCTGTCATGGTCACTTCCAGTGGCTTCTACTGGTGTTTCCCATGTACTGAACTCCCGTCTCACTGGAAAGCATTAGCTTCACTTCCATTCTTCCTAACTCTGTCTTTGGCAAGTTGAAAGCTGACAAAAAAGTAACACAGTCTTCAGAAGGGCTGACAACCTGGAGATCATGTAGCACAATCCTCCTCGTCAAAGCAGGGTCAATAACAACAGATTGCTCAGGACACTCTCCCATCAGGTTCTGAATATCTCCAGTACCTCCAGGTCCAAGAAGATTAACATGTTGTATTTGAGATTAGGGCCCTAATCCAGCCAAACACATACATGCTTATTTCTGATATACTGACTTCAAGCTATTTCGGTCTGAAGTTGAGGAATATGCTCTATCTACATATTATAAACCCAGATTCCAGAAGTTGCTGGAAGCTATACCTAAAAGTGTAATGCAAGAAGAGCTGCAGATGTGCATCATTGCTCTATAGATACATTTGGGAACAGAAACCATGAAGATAAGTAGAAAAGTTAGGCTCTTATTCCTTACCACATGTTAAACCCATCTACTTATTCAAAGAAAGTAGAAAGGCAAATTTGCTGGGTAAAAGGAAATTCATCTCTCTGTTAAAAGGACTCTTGTCAGGGACAAGGTGCCACTTGGTAAGGAAATTTGTCCTGACTGTTGGGCTGAACTTGCTCCTCACTAGGAGATCAGCTCTTAACTTTTCAACCTGCATAGCACTCAGCAGGCTACAGTACCAGCACTAAATATGGAACGTGACACAGCTCCTGCCATTTTATAATTTGGGTTTGATTATCTTTGTTCTAATTGAATAATGTTAAAATTACATGAAATGCAATGGCAACAGCAACACATCTGGTGAAGAGTCTAGAGCACAAGTCTTATCTGGACGTGCCAAAAGAACTGGGGTTGTGTAACCCAGAGAAAAGGAGGCTAAGAGGAGACACCATCCCTCTCTACAATTACCTGAAAGGAGGTTGTAGTGAGGTGGGTGTTGGTCTCTTCTCCCAAGTAATAAGCGATAGGGCAAGAGGAAATAGCCACAGGTTGCACAAGGGGCAACCTGATATTTGATGTTAGGAAAAACTTCTTCTCCAAGAAGGTTGCCAAGCACTGGAACAGACTACCCATAGAAGTGGTTGAGTCACTATCCCTGGAGGTATTTAAAAGACGTTTAGATGTAATGCTTCAGGATATGTTTAACTGATGGGCTTAGCAGTGCTAGGTTAATAGTTAGACTTGATGATCTTACAGGTCTTTTGCAACCTAAATGATTCTATGATTCTATGTAATAGAAGCTAAATGCATTCCCATCAGTGCAATTGCTATTCAGAACAGATACTATCTGTTAATATATTTCGTAGACTTCTATTTAACCAAATAGTAAGTACTCTGTGTTCTTCGACATTTCATCTAGCAAGGGCACTAGTTAAAAATGTTGTTTTCATAGTTTAGAATTCCCTTTAATAATGAAATGATTCTGCCAAAACCCCCCAATATATTATTTCCCTACTCTTCAAAAACTCGGCATCAAGCTCAAATTTTTAAAAAAGTCAACCACAAGTTTCTAAACTAAGTGACTTTGCCTTCATAATCTTCCCTTTTCCTCTAGCACAATAGCAAAGTTCCTTTAACACAAAAGTAAAGTGCTTAGTCAATAAAAGTTTTGTTAAACCTTCTGTGCAAAAGTTTCAGTTTGCAAGCCCCAATTCCATCAATAAAAGCTAAATTTAGCTCTCATTTTTGTTCCAATGTAACCCACAAAGAGGTTTTTAAAATATAGCATGACAAAAATTTCCATGAGAGAAGGTCATTTACAGACCTTGAGGAGGATCAGGAATGGTGACATAATTTATTCTGCAAAAATGGCATATTAACAAAGGAAAACAGAACAAATGTAGCATGGTGATTAAAACAGACTCTTCTTATGCTCAAAATCATTAGCAGATAACCTTACACCTGCTGGACAAGATATCCTTCCCTTCCCCGATTTCCTGGTGTTCTATTCCATCTATTAATGCCAACATAGGCTAGCCCTTTGGTTATATAGCTGAATATTCTCAAACCTACCTCACACAGACTGAGAAACTTGAAAGTAACATTACGTGATTTCTGTGAAGCTATAGAGAGAGACAAGGGTCAGAGCTGAGATTCAAGCTCCTGTAAGCTAACAGAAATGTGGTAAGCAGTATAATGGTATTTAATGACCAACAAAGAATAGACCTTGACCTCAACAGTAAGACTCTTCTGAACTCAGCTACCTGACTTGCATTTAGCAATTCCAAGTAAATTGTGTCCCAGGCTAAGGATTCTTCATCTTTAAAAATTCTTTGGTCAGAAAGTGAGAAGGTTTTTTTCTGATATACCAGTTTTTTCCTCTGAAGGGAATAGAGATACTCTTAATTTAGCATATGGGTTAATTAAGAGTAGAAAGAGGAATAGGGCAGTGTAAGTAGGCAGAAGCTGTATGTCTGTCTCTTGAATAAACTTGGGGTTATTTGGATTATTGGCAAAAATTTATAGCTCTGTTGAGAAGTTTAGCTGTAACTATTACATAAGTATAAAAGAAAAGCTCTTATAGTTCAAACTTCACACCATATTAAAATGATAAGATGTAGAACATTAATGACTCCAGTTTGTCTCAATAGAGTCTCACACAGTAAAGAAAATCCAGGTCATATGTGTAATGGACTGGGAACTCAAGCTA